TGTCCGACATGCAAATCGTGTGCTTAAGTGCGTGCGTAAGCAGTGCATGACGTGCGTTGCAATATTATTGTTGTTGTCCAATTTGTCTATCTAACTGCCTCACGGTCTGTCTGTCTTTTCGCCTTATATGAATGGGTGCAAACGCTGCATAGGCAGCTGCGCCAAAGAATCGTCGCTGGAATTTCAACGAATATACATATATGTGCGGTTGCGTGTGTGTGGCGTTGCCAACTGCACCACTCAACTCAGTTGCTCAGCTGTTTAGTATGCAAGGCAGGCGGTGCTGGCAGTGCTTGAAGTTGCATAATTTTTTCGAGTGGGACCTGCAATTTACTGATTGAATGGAAAAGGAAGCGGCACTCCATGACGTACCTGTGGAAGTCAACTCTTCAAAAAATATTGCGAAATTCGACGACAATTGGCAGGAAGGAAGTTCATTTAAGGTTCTTTATGTTTAAACAGCTTTAATATTTTTTTAGCTTATTTGGTAATGCTTTGAAAATAACAGTAAAAGGGTAAATGATGAGGTCTGATTGCCTATTTATATAGCATATTTTTATTCCCTAAAAACAAGATAAAATATCCCTAGAGTGACTTACTCAGAGTCAACATAATGATTTTGAATAGCCCAAGTGGTTGGAGCTTAAGGTTCTTCAAACAAAGAATATAATAGTACAACTTTTAACCAAAAAATTATACCAGTTTTGGTACAGAAAGGATTAATAAGTCTATACTATAAACCCTGGACCTTGCAAAGTAAACTGTACATATTTTTTGTTGCTGAGGGAATTGAGTGTTTTGGAAAGTTCTATCAAGAGAAAATTATTACAGATATCGCAAAAAGTTTGGGAAAACTTTGGTAAACGTATAAGGAAACAGCCACACGAATATACTTATGGAATGATACTAGAATCGCAATTCTGAAATAGATGCAAAACCGAGCTATGCCAAACACTCCTGAATCGATTGTTTTGGAAATGTAATAAGCTTGGACTTTAACTGGACTTCTAAGCAAATCTTATGGACGTTTCATCTTCATCTCAAATAAACTGGTTTACTCTAAAGCTACCTACTTATTATTCCATTCATAAAATTCAGACTTGGGTGAGTTTAGATATAGGGTTCTGACATTTGACATCACCAGCTAAACGGTCAGTTGGCAATTTTCTTAAGTCTACCCTCAGTGTATGGCGAGTGAAAATGAGTGCCAATAACATTTTCATATGTTGAATAATGATGATGTTGTAAAACAATTTGTTTTGCGCTCCAAAGTATTTACAGATCACTTAGCCCCGACGCTCTAACTTTAAATCGTCTTTCTATTACACTTCGTTCAAAATTTGAGGGCACAAAAAGCTCACTCTTTCTTAAAAAGCTGTGCTTTTGGACTTTTAAGCTTTTCAGTGGTTAAGACTGGAGCTTTTGAGCTTATATTACTAGCTTTTTGGTGGCAGTAAAAATTACTTCACTTTACTAATTTTCACTTAACTAACCGTCTGCCACTATAATACCGTCGAAGAGCTTTTGGAAAAGCTTATGTTCTCCACATGAGCATATCGACACTCGGGAAAACTTTGTTTTTGTTCACTTGCCATTTCCCATATTTTTATATTCTGAACACCCAGAAGGCAATTTTGGAGACTCTATAAATTATATATATACAAATGATCAGCGTGATGAGCAGAGTCGATTTAGTCACGTCCGTCTATCTGTATATACCCAAACTCGTCCCTCAGTTTTGAGATATGGATCTGAAGCTTCGCTTATGTCAGAAATATCTAATCAGTGAACATCTAGCTTTACATACAGCTATATTTTGTTGTATAAACCTATCTCAACTCACTCTTGACTATTCAAAAAAAAGTTAAATCTGGTACAAGCAACGTTATATAACGCTTTATGATTCATATGTGGCATTTTTATGAATTCGCGAGGAAAAAACGTCAAAAGAGCTTAAACGAAGATGATACTTTTATTACTATTGAAGTTGTTGTGGTAACTTGGTCATAATTTCACTACTAACAGCTGATTATACAACAACTTCCTTTATAAAAATGTTTACTGCTGCTGCAGCTTCGAAACAAGACTAAATGAGTGATTTAGTGAGTGAGTGATAGAGCTTTCAAAACTGTTGAGTGCATAACGGATTTTTCTGCTTTATATTTATTTCATGAAAGCATTCGCCGCAGCATAGTTCCCACGTTTGAAAAATGAATTTTGCAACAACAAAGCATAATGAAACCACAAAAACACCTCAAATAATTTAAATGACTGGAAAAAATTCCGAAGAAAAGCGAAGTCAAAAGTAAAATAGAAAATAAAATAACTACAAAGACGTCAATGATCAATATTTGGACGCCGCATGAAAGGGAAAATGCATTATACACATACATACAGACATCCATGCGCACAAATATATACACAAGCATCCAATAGAAATTGCATAAATCGATCAAATGCTCGACGAAACGATGTATCGTCGATATCAAACTGCTTCACATGCGCGGCAACAATTGACGCTAACGAGTTTGGCAACAACAAAAGCAACATTATACATACACTACAACAATTTCACAACAAAACATATACACACATGCAATCCTCTATTGCAAATTTCACCTGCGTACGCGCCACGGCCATTTTCCAGTCAGAAAGTTCAACAACAGAAAAAAACATTAAAAAGCTGTAAAAGGCAGCCACAGTTAAGTGCCCGAAATGGTGGGTAATTGGAAGCGTTAGCGATTGCACTTCGTGTTGCCTCAAGGTCATTGCAATTGGCCGCCAACATTGCTAGCTTGTGGGGCTGAGCGCGCAGCTCGTTTGTTGTTTTCGTTCGCTTTGGGCGCCTTCGGGCCACATCAAGGTGAAATGGAAAATGGGGAAAAGCGCGAAAAGACGTGCCGCGGCAGCTTTGACTAATGCACAAATGGTTTCTTCATGCGTTGTTGTTATGGTTAGTGTTATGGATGCATCCCTTTGGTATTTGCATGATTGATGATTGTATAATTTTTCTGGAATTTATTATTTAATGAGGTAGACATGCGATAGCTGTTAGCGTCAATAACTCGTGAGTGTCAGGGCGAGTGAAAGGGCGGCAGCCTTATTGAAAGGTCGTTGACATATTGATGGGGAAAAGAGGCGGATAAAAGATCAATCGATTGGAAGTACGAGTAGTGAAGACGATGAATTGTTAGCTTCTGGATTTGACCTATAGATGGTCTTAAGTTTTACCTGCGCTTTCGCAATCGTGATAGCATAAGTAAGAGAATGAAAGAGATGAGCTTTTAGTGAGCTTTTATGACATTTGGATTAGAACCTAAAATAAGGTTAAAACTTGCATAAATACGTATTATTTGGAGGTATGGATAACCTTAAGTTTAGCTTCGGTGTTGCTGGCGGTTTTCGAGGATGAAAAAACAGAGTTTTCAGTGATCTTTGCTTGTTTCGAGGATCCGTTGAAGTCTGAAGATCATAGAAATCCAAGTGTGATGTTTGGAGCTTGCGTCTATTCTGAAAGCATTATTTCAAGGAGAAGCTTCACGGAAATACCTAGATTTCCAAAGACGGTCAGAACAGAATTAAGATTTAAATTACCTGTAACTTGGGCGTCATGATGTAAACAAAGAGCTCATTGACCCCATAAAATGTAAAAACTCCCCTGACTTGGCTAAATGTAAACAAAGGTTGTTGACTTGGATAAATGTAAACAAAAAGGTAATTGACCTCATAATGTCAACAAATGGGCCATTGACTCCATAGTAAACAAAAGGGTTATTAACCTCATATGTAAACAAAGGTTGTTGGCTTGGCTAAATGTAAATAAAAGGGTCATTCACCCCATAAAATGCAAACAAAGGGGTCATTGACCTCATAATGTAAACAAAGAGGTCATTGACAAAGGTTGTTGACTTGTCTAAACGTAAGAAAAGGTTGTTGACTTGGCTAAATGTAAACAAAAGGGTCATTGACCCCATAAAATGTAAACAAAGGTGCCATTGACCCTATAATATGTAAACATAGGTTGTTAGCTTGGCTCAACGAGGGTCATTGACCTCAAAATGTAACCACGAGAGTCACCTAAGCACTGACCATACACGACGCCTGTTTTTTATTTATACAACAAACTGGCAGCCAGCTTCTCGGCAGGTCACCTCGTGACTTTTAAATCACATCATATCGAGGCACGAGAGTCACCCAAGCACTACCCATGCACGGAGCCTGCTTTACTTATATAGAGCCAGCTGGCGTGCAGCTTCCCGTCAGGTCACCTCATGACTTTTAAATCACTTCATATCGAGGCACGAGAGTCACCCAAGCACTGGCCTGGCACGATGTCTGCTTTACTTATATAGAGCCAGCTGGCGTGCAGCTTCCCGTCAGGTCACCTCATGACTTTTAAATCACTTCATATTGAGGCACGAGAGTCACCTAAGCACTACCCATGCACGGTGCCTGCTTTACTTATATAGAGCCAGCTGGCAGGCAGCTTCCCGTCAGGTCACCTCATGACTTTTAAATCACGTCATATCGAGGCACGAGAGTCACCCAAGCACTGCCCAGGCACGGTGCCTGACTTACTTATATAGAGCCAGCTGGCAACCAACTTTCCGTGAGGTCACCTCGTGACTTTTAAAACAAATCACATCGCGGCGTGAGAGTCATCTTAGCATGGCCAGTCGTGGTGTCTGCTTTACTTACATAGTTCAAAGGCAAAGCTACAATCTCCGAACTTATTGTTCAGTTCGGATCACTATAGCATCTAGCTGCAATGCAAACTAACCATTCAAAATCAATATATAGATAATTTTATACCCTTTTATGCTACAAGATATATATTAGTGAATAGTATTATAGTTGGTGCAGGTGCATACGAAGCTAATTTTTTTCTTGTTTTATATATATACTTACATATACATAAAAAATTTAATATTCAATAATATTTTTGAATAAGTATTATACAGCTATTAATATTTTTTAAATGTAAACCAATTTGAACTCACCTTATAGTTCAAATCTTGCACGTTATCCAAACTGATGTCGCTATACATGTCTTCTGTGGTATCACAATTGGAGCTGCGCCCAGACGAATTAAAACTTGAGGATCTGTAAAGTTGACTGAATAATGAGAAATTGTAAAATTAAATGTGTATGTATGTGTGTTTGCAGTGTAAGTGATTAAAAGCTGAATGAAATATTGTGTGAGATTTGATGTCTAGTGTACTTGTGTGGATAATCATTTAGGTATTTGGTAATGTGTATTTATAAGTATTGCTATAGAATCAATGCTCTCAAATATCACTAAACCAACAAATCCTGCGCTTTGTAGCAATTTATTTCAGGTAAAACTTTAAAATCGAACCCATTCTAAAACTACTTCATTTATGCATTACTTAGTAATTGTTTTGTTATGCGTTCCTCACAGCACTTAGCAAAGACAACAACCGATCAGCAGTTCACAAAAAACACTAACACAGTGCTAGTGAAAGCTAAACTTCATATCTGTGTCTGTGCTAAATATATTCATTCAACAGTTTGAGCTGCATCAAGTTAAAATGTAATACAGTGGCGTCAAAATGTCGAATATATGAAAAGAAAGTACTAGCTTTAAAACTGTTGTACACACAAACCAAAGAATGTAAAATATCTAATAATATATATAATCTACATTCTCTGCACAAACCGTTGGCGTGGGAGTAAATCTTTGTGGAATTTTATATTTAAATTGTTTGCTATTTTAGAAAATAATTGAGAGCAAATGTAAGCTTGAATATTAAAATATAATTAATATATAATAATTTAATAATAAAATAGGCTTTATGACATGGCATATTTATGGTGCTCGAAAATAAATTATGAAATAAAAATGGAGATTTTTGCGCAGTTAAATAAAATTAATCGATTATTAATAAAAACTAAGCGTATTAAAAAAAAAATAGTTAAGCTGCCTGAATATGTGTTTTTATAAGTAAAAAGTATAATTTATTGGTCTTTATTGAATTTTTTTATGTAAGCTTTATTACTATTATTTTTTGTTTGTTTATAAGCTCACCTGGCTAAAGCATTTGAACCCAGCTGCCGACGACCGGTGCTACAAAAAAGGAAGAAAAATGTTAATATATTTTCAAAAAATATAAATTAATTAGTTTTAATTGTTTTTATAAACATACGATATATTTACATATTTAAATACAATCTTTATAAACTAAAATGTTTTATATATAACTATTTTTAAATTTTAATTGAAAAATATGTAAAAGAGTAAAAGCTAAATTTATTAAAAATGGTGTGCGCAAGAAACATTTTTTTTATCTACATATATATATATATATATTTATTATTTAAGACTTTAAAAAAAAGTATGTACATATGTATATATATATATATATATATATTTACTAAATTTATACATTTTTCATGGAACTTCATGCAAATTACACCATATTATGCAACTTTATCCTTCTACATACAAAAATATGTTGAAAATTTATATATAAATATTTTTCTTTATGAACCCTATTTTCAAGATGAGCTACAATACAAATATATAACTAAATATATAGTTATATACATATATATGTACATACATAAAAATAATTTTCCATACCAATTTTTTCAATAACCTTAAAATTGGTAATTACAAGTATAAATACAATTTATCTGCTTCACTCAGGTGTAAACTTTGCTCTAATCGTTGTTGTTGGCATTTTTGTACGTCATCAGTGTCATTTGCAGTACTCTCGAGGGATTAAATTGACTTTATTGTATTCACGCGTTTATGTGAGCCAAAAATATACTTATGGAAACGAGAAAAATTAACTTAAGGTAATTCATGGGCAATATTTTTATAATGCGTGTATTAGGGTGGAGCGGATTTTTAAAAGGTGTGGAGCAATTTTGTAGCACAGCGCAACAAAAAAAATTATGGATAGTATAAGAAGGCGTACAAGGTTTTTAACTTTAAATAATAGAAAATATAATTTTAAAAATATTCTAAATTTATCACATTAAAAAAATTTTTTTGTTTTTTTTTTTATAACATACTCTAATTTGCTTTTTAACCAATTATTTTTTTTTATTTAACTACAACGATAATAGTGCGTTCTTCCTAATAAACAAATATTTTATTTTTATTTTCATATATTTTTCAATATTAAAATTGATCCACCCTAATAGCAACACGGGTTTTCAGTAAATTAAAAACAAATTTCAATATAAACAAAAAAGCATAAAAAGTAAATTCAATTTCACCGGAATCGACAGCAACAATGACACGTGTTTGTAAAATATTTTGCTTAATGGTAAATCTGTGCCAAAAAGATAAATATTAAAATCGCAAAAATTTTAAATAAGGCGCTTATTATATTGCATATTAATTTTAGTAATGCTAACAAAAAGAAAAGAGAACAAGTGAGCGATAGTGAACGTTTTAGCAAAATCTAGGTCAAGCATTAATTCTTAATTAAAGACGGAAATACTTAAAAATTTTAGTTTGTGAATATTTCTAACATTTTTTTCAAGTAGCTAGATGATTTTCAATATTTTCAAGTGAATTTCAATATACTATGTTACATCTACTGCCACCAAAAGTGAAATACGGGGTATAAAAAATTTTAACAAACAACTCGAAGATTATCACAATAATTAGAATAGAAAACTTAATTATAATTAAGATTTTCTAAAAAATTTTAAATTTGAAATTTTATAAATTTTATTATGAATATTAAATACCTTCACTTAACTTAACGACTCTACGTACAAGCTATAATTCCTTGTAATATTCAAAATTTTGCATTTCACCGCTAATTGCCTGCAAGATTTATCATAATAATATCACATCAAAAGTTTTCAAAAAACAACAACAACAAACGGTTCCACTAATTATTGTTGTATTTTTAAAACTCAAAAACTCATATTGTTTGCATTTATTGTTGCTAATGTTTGTTGCGCTCAGCTAATATAGCTGTTGACCTCATTAACCCACTTAACTGCGTATTGCTCATATGGTTTTGTGGCAATATGACTGTGAGAATACAAAAACAAAACTAAGCATGTATACAAAATGAATGCTAAAATATGAAAAAAAATTTGCAAAATAAAAAAAAATTATTTTAAATATGTTCGAAAAGAAAAAACAACGAATTACGACAGTCAAAACACGAAACGCTTAGAACAAGCTAAAGCAGCAACTGCGAAAAAGACAAATGACCGCCGCAATACAAAAAGGAATAACGGAAAAGTTGTACAGTCAATAATAATACATGCTAATTAATGTTTAGACATCAATTTAAATGGGCAGAGAAGCTAAAAATGTTCAACTTAAAATGTGTTTCTAATTAATTTCAGCTAAAATTCAAGACAAAATAATAATTAGTCGGTGAAAAAAATGCAACGAAATCTGTAAATACGAACAGCTGTTTTTGAGTGGGTTTCACCGTTTGCCAGATGCATAAGTTTATAGCGTTCAAAGAAATAAAAAAAATATATAAAAAAAAACAAGAAAAACCGCTACCTTATTTCTTCTATTTATTAACCGATCCAAAATAGAAAACCTTAAAAGAAATCAATAGCAAATTGCCATTAAAAGATTTTGGCGCAATGCCGGTGAAGGTCTTCAATAAAGCTGAGTGGGAAACACGTTTTTTGATTGAGTGCATGATTGAGAAGTGATTGAATTGAGTGCTAAGCGGAATTGAATGAGTAGTATTAAATGATAAGCGATTTTCTAATTGGAATTAAGATATATATTGAATATTTTGGAAATCATTTGATTGAGTTCAAAAACTAATTATCAGCAAAACAGATTTATAGACATGCATAGCAGTTATAGTTGTAAATATAAATGACAATGGTATAAATAAAAGTTGTTAAAATTATATTTTAGTAATTATTATACAATTATTATACAATATATAATAAGTAAATATTTTCATACAAAATTTCTTTCTATGTGTTTCTATATACTCTGTAATATATGTTCTCTCCTCTTTCAAGCCTCTAAGAAAATCTTATAAAATATACTACTTAATTGCTTACCAACTTGCCAAACTTAACACACATTTTCATGAAATCGAAATGCGAAAAAATGTCTTTAAAAATTTCTCACCTCATCGTATCTAATCTCTTCAAGATTTAAATAGAAGAAAGAAAAATTCGAATTGCAACTCCGAAATATGATTTTAACAACATATAGGAGATATCTTACAAGCACAGTTTTAAAATATTGTCTATAGAGGCGATCGAAAAATCGAGTATTGGAAAACTATAGGTCGGTTTTGCTACAAGCTTTGCTCAACTTTCGAAACAGTTGAACTTTAAAGTGGTTCTTTAAGGGTATAAATTTTATGAAAATTTTACCTCTAAGTACGATTACAGCTATTACTCCTTTAAAATATAAACTTAGTTCAGAAAACCTTGAAAAAGTCTTTTTCATATTATAAAGCATATCTTTAACTCATTTTGATCTCATACCAAGCCGAATTAGGTGAAGAAATACAATAGCCACTTCTACAATAAAATTGTCAATTAAATCTTCTTCCTCCAACAATTACGCAAATAAGCATGAATAATTTTAAAATAAGTGCGCGCAAGGTGACTCCCAAGCATTTCTAATTGTCAAAATTTACATTTGAACAGCAAATTGTCGCCAAAAGCACTGCCATATGCAATTAACCAAACAAATTTTACAAAATCAAAATGTAAATGCTGCAAGTACAACTAGCAAATTTGCCAACAAAAGTTCATTGACTCACGCGCACCTGTCACCCAGTGGACAACAACAAACAAATTAACAACAAATTTGATTACAGCATATTTATTTTTATGGGCGACGAGGCAGAGTTGAAACACTTAAGTTGGCGGGCGGTGCAAAGGACAGTAATGGAAAAGCAACAGCAAACGAATTAAATAACAATGAAAAAACATAGAAAAAAAGCAAAGGCGACGAAGCGCTGAGAAAAGGTAACAAAAAGTAGGAAGAAAATGCTTTATAATTATTAAATGAATATTTGTGTTTACATTGAAGTGCAATGCGATCGCACAAAAATGTGTGATATAATGTCAATAATAAAATTATGTAAACAGAAATCATATTTGCTTTTCCTTATATGTTTTGTGTTACTTTCTTTCTTATTAACACTATTTTATTGATTTTTTTTGTTTTGCTATTTATTTCGTTTTTTCTTTTCAATTTTATATTGTAATATCTTTTTTACCGGAGATATATTGTGAGCGGCTAGTTTTTTTTAAAAGACGTGGATGAAAGTGAATAAAGCAACAAAAATTCAATAATCGAAAAAAATATGAAAGCCATTTCTTAAAAATAATAAATGAAACTCTTCACGCAATGACAATGCCAAATATAACACTTTTTAAGTGTATATGCAAATCTGGTAAATCTGGCTACGACACATACACCAATTATTGGTAATTGGAAAGCTAAGAAACAAGAAAAAACGTTAACTTGGGCGGCACCGAAGCTATAATACCCTACAAAGGTGCATTTCTTAAAGCATGAAATTGTATAAAAATACCTTGAACTTGATTTTTATCGTCGTTTTATATGGCAGCTATATGCTATAGTGATTCGATATCAACGGTTTCGACAAAAGATTAATTTCTTTTGATAGATAGCACTTTTTAAATTAAATTAAATTGTATTGATTAATAAATTACAACAAAAAAACTAAACATAAAATACTTGTGAAGGTGTGATAATTGAATTATCGCAAAAAAAAGAAAAAGTAAAAGGCTTAAAAGTATTGTAAATTTTCAATGAAATTATTACAAATATATGTATATGAAATGATTTTCATGTTTTCATCGCATGAAAGCGCTCCAATTTAACAACATACAGGTAGTAGTGTTTAATTACACATATTCTCATATTTTTACAATTTATTATTATTTTTCCTCTTTTTCACTTTAGTTAATATTTACATTAACAACAATACTAAGGTTTGCTGTTGCGTAAAGCAATTAGTGAATAATTTAAAAGTCAAAGTATAGGCATATTTTCAATGAAATTTCGAAATGATTTGTGTTTGGCGCAACAATTATAACAAAGCTTATTCAATGGAGTTTCTCGCAAGC